ATGACAATATGTATAGACATGTTATTGTGTTAGTTACATTTTTACCAGCAGTTTTGTCTGTTCGGAAAAAACCTTCATGGGCCGTGCATAAATAAAACGAATACGCTAACTGTACAATTATTTTTTGAAAAGATAAGAACTTTTTTTAAATAAGTAAATAATAACCTAGTAATTATAAAAATGTCTAAATCAAAGTTGATAAGTAAAATTGATTAAAACAAATAAACGGAAATGTTAGCAAACATTGCGAATTTTTTCCACTAATTATCTTAGAATCAAGTAATTTACAGAAGATCTCATTATAGACAAATGGAGTAAAAGGAACAGGTATTTGTGTAGCTTCATTCAAATATTGACTACACCTTTTCAATAAACTTGTTTACATAATTAGTCCTTGATCATTATACCTGGTCTATTGTGTTTAACAATAAATGAAGAAAATATGCAAAACTGAAAAGGATAGAATTATACCGTTTTCGCACTCCACGAATATACGTAGAAATGTGTATTGTTGGTGGTCTAACCAATTGCAATAACATTGAAATGCAAATTGACTACAGAGGAGCCTTAAGGATATAAGAAAGGTCCCTATTATTTTTAAATTACGTAGACTATCGAGTCAAAAAGTTTTACTCCAGGATCGTTCGGTATTCAGTTGTATCGGATTTTTATATTTGATTTTGTGGCAATGGAAACTTTCCCTAAACATTTCTAAATTGTTTTCAAATATTTGAATAACTTAAAAGTACGAATTGTTTTGGATTCTACGCACCAAAATTAATAAGAAAAAGTGCTTTCCCGAGAAATTTTGGTGCAGTCGAGTTTTGGTAATAAAGGAAGGTTATACACTGCCTTTTTTTGAGGCCCGAAAAAAAATTGTCTCAGATCGACCCGGAAAACAAGTTTTTCTTATAGGATGTGGCCTGTGGAATCCATAATTTCAAACAGTTCCAAGATTGGGCTACTAGATCAAAAGTTACAGCCCTTTGAATTTTCTTTCGAAGTTGGTTTCTAGTCTATAACTTTTGATTGAGAAGTCTGATCGAAAAAGTACGAATAGTTTTGGATTCTACGCACCAAAATTAATAAGAAAAAGTGTTTTCCCGAGAAATTTTGGTGTAGTCGATTTTTGGTAAAAAAGGAAGGTTATACACTGCCTTTTTTTGAGCCCCGAAAAAAAAATTGTCTCAGATCGACCCGGAAAAAAATTTTCTTATAGAATGTGGCCTGTAGAATCCATAATTTCAAACAGTTCCAAGATTGGGCTACTAGTTCAAAAGTTACAGCCCTTTGAATTTTCTTTCGAAATTGGTTTCTAGTCTATAACTTTTGATTGAGAAGTCTGATCGAAAAAGTACGAATTGTTTTGGATTCTACGCACCAAAATTAATAAGGAAAAGTGTTTTTCCGAGAAATTTTGGAATAGTCGATTTTTGGTAAAAAAGGAAGGTTTAAGTATTCAAATACTATGCGAAGTATTTGAATACTTCTCAAAGTATTCAAATACCTTGCGAAGAATTCGAATACTAAATATGTGTGAAAGTATGAGTTACAAATACAAATTCTGCTTCCATAAAAATATTTAATTACAAAGTATTTGAATACTAAAAAGTATTTATAAAATCGAATACTGCCCAGCTCTGGCATTGGTTTAGAGACGTGTTCGAAGTGTCCCGGCCCATTCATGTTCTAATAGTTGAAGAGATGCAAAACTGTTTTTGACACGTATAGCAGGCGTCAATGCGTCATATGCATACGACGTCGTTTTTGATTTGACGATAAAAGAATAACTTGAACCTAGACTTGAACCGCTGTGCCGGTGCCACATTGGGAGCGTCGCAATGTATCAGAAAGTTTGAGAAAAACGTTCGATTATCGCATTCCAAGTGAAGGCATGTTGCCGCAATATCCAATATTTTTAACAGGCTGTGTTCTCTCAAAGATAAGGGTAGAAAGATTGAGGTCACTTTTCCAGTATGAATTTACAATGTATTATTCTGACGATTTCGCAATCAATCGACAGAAAAGCGTTAGGAGACAATGTGGCCACTTTGGTCTTTGAATATTTATCATTGAACGAGATTCCTTATTCAATGGCTTTACGCTATACGTACAAAGTGCGCGAAACAATGTCCTGTTGGGGTAGAACAATCGATAAGTAAAAATGATGTTGCTTTTAGAAAGGTTATTTTGAAAGTTCTAAGCTCCTCCACATCAACTAAATTTAAAGTTCTCGTTTGACGAATTTCTTGAAAGGACTTCAAAAAGACACTAATTAAATGTTTCCTCACACTGAATTTCAATAGGTCGCTGAAAACTTCCTCCGTTACTTTTGTAAACCTCTAGTATAGAATTCTGTATACAATTTTCCAACCGATATAAATTCAAAATAGAATGTGTAAGTGTTCGAGAAGTTTCCACTGAAGCGTAGTTGATGGTGTTGTACCTATAGGGATGTATATTTGATTTTCTTTCATACGTGAATGTTACGCCTAACCGTCTGGTTCCTCAGTGACGAGAAATACCGAGAATATTATAATAAGAAGTTGCAACTGTAAAACAAGATACGAAGAATTGCCGAAGGTTTGACATTACTCTCTTTTCGTTCTCGAGTGAGACGACGAACAGACGGATGGACAAAACCATCACATAAGGGAAATTTCTTTCGCAAAACTCCAAAATTATTACACTCTTAGAAAATACTGTAGCGTAATTGTTCACGCTCAATGAAATATTTTTTAATCGCGAGTTTTTCATAGTAAATTTATACAAATTTATTTGAACGAAAAGTAAGTGAAACCTACTTTTTGGGTAATTATAATAATGTTAAATACACTTTAGTGTTTACGTAAGTCATTTGTGTATAAATAAGGCGCATACGTGTATAAAATGTGGTAAGTAGATCACAAGATAGGATTAATTCTAAAAAGCGATCGATTTCGGGTTACAGATTCTTTCACCGGGCTTTTAGGTTTAATTAATGCACCTGTATGATTTATCGTCTTTTAGAAAAATTAAACCTGTCGCAGAATGTTTTTCTTTGTCTTACAAAACGTACATTGCTCTCTTACGTGTTGATTGCGTACTCTAGTTGGATCTATGTACGTAATATTTTCCTGAAATGTTTTTAATTAAAACGCCTTTATTTCCACCCTTTTGGTGAACCTATCCTGATAAACAATTGCATAACAGTTTCCTTTACGTGGAAATGGTTCCATCAATACTACATGGTTGATTTATCTTTGAATTTAAATTTTTAATATATTTAAATACATCTTGCGCGCTTCTAGGCCAGTAATAATTTTTGAAACACCCGGGAAATTGTTGTCAGGCGGCGGTCGGTTGGTTATGACATTCTCCTAACACCCGGGAACGTTGGAGTTTTTGAACGCACAACTTCCATGAACTCGTAAAGCCCTCAGCGGAGGAAGATGATGAAGGGACAGCACAATATAGTTTAAGATTTTCGGTTTCTTTAACACCTGCGATGGGTTCCCGATTTTCAGTTTCTCGTAAGAACGTGATAATGTACTTTATTCATTGTCCTTCACGGTATACCACCACTAAGTCACGGACCTCAGCCATTTTAAACTTTGGTGGTCTGTAATCACTTTCAAGTGGCAACTTTCAAAATACCCTTTCCATTTGTCGATCGCCCAAACTACAACCAAACATTCTTGTTCTATTGTAGAATAATTTCTCTCTGCGGGCTTGAGTGCTCGATTAATGTAGGCAATGACTTTTTGGATACCATCTTGAGTTTGTGATAGAACGGTTCCAATTCCTGTGCTGCTGGCATCTGTTTGCAATATAAGATTAAAATCTGGACAGAGCGGAAGTGAGAGCTTCTTGTAGTTGCTTCTTGTTGCTCTGCTTTCCAATTAAATTTTACAACATTTTTTCACAAGTTCAGTTAATGGTTGACCAAGCTTTTAAGTTTTTAGTTTCACAATATCCTAACTTTGACTTAGAATTTTTATAAATTTGAAAAAACCGAGGGCCGCTATGAAATTTCGCTAATTCCAATTAAATTACTACTCAAATTTCGAATTGAAATTAACATTCGGATTAAAAGAAATTGGAAAAATTTTTTAATCAGCTAATGTTGCGCTTCCCAATATATTCCCCTCGGTTTTGATGGGACCAAGAAGAGACCCGTTTCGAGACCAAAACCGAAAATAGGAGAGGGGACAGCAGGCCAGCTGTCATCAGTGTTGCCACCTAGAGGGATTTTTTGATAGGGGGTTTGGCATAATTCAGGAGCAATACTCAAAAACCATCATCCTGAGAAATAAAAATCTGGGGTTACTTTTTGTAGATCATTTAACGAGAAACAAAAAAGTACTGAACTATTCTTATCGCTCGACTCGTATTTATCGAGATAATTCCAAAAAATCATAAAAATTCACCTTTCCATTTGTCTAAACAAATGTTCCGGTCAGAATTGTAGGATTATTTTTTTAAAAGGTATTATTTACAGTATGGAGAAGAGATTAAAACAACAATTGGTTTATTAAAAATTTTTTCCTTATCAAAACATCTGATGCCTGGACTAGATACTTCACAATGAAGTTACGTCGATAGATTACTTATTTCTTGCTGTAATGATGTCCCCTTGATATTTAGAACTTATGTATTAGGGTTATCACAATTTGGACACACTAAATTATTAAATAACATTTATCGGATTTTTAATTAAGTAATGCATATTTTCTACTTTTCCATAAAATTTGCAGCTGCTATACTGTTGTAAATTAATCTGTTTAAAAAATTCCCGCCGTACCACTAGGGTGTGTTTCAAACAGACGAATGCTGTTTACGAAAAACATTTTAAACGCGTCTTTAAAATCGTCTGCTGGAATGGGTTTTCTTTGATGTTTAGCGCATTGTTCCACATGATCCAGTCCAATTCGTAATTTGCCCGACAGAGAATACATCAATCCATCTTTCAACCGTCGCAGTTGCAGTCAGCTTCCTTCCCTCCACTTGGCGAACGCAGACCACCCGATTCCGCGATTCTCTATTAGTAGTAAAGTTCATGTTACATGAAAATGACTAATGAATATTGCGATTATGTAACGTTTGATTTATTAAGTCGAGCGTTACCAGACCGTTCCTGTCCAAACGAAACATGAATGCGAACAATACTTTACGAAGTGATCCAGAAAAATTTGGGGCTTACGTTGCTGCTTCTGTTGTATTATCGGTGATTGGATTGCTCGGATTTACTTTAAACTTAATTGCAATTAAACTTATGTGGAAGGAGAAGCATGTAAGTTTATACCATTTACACACGCATTCATTAAATTAAGTTGTAAAACATCCCGAAAGTTCTGAAAAGCTTGAATTTACGTATTCGAGTACTTTACAGTTTTACTGTGGAGCTAATGCAATTTTCCAGCAAGTGCGTACTTTGGCTACCCTTTTATCGCATGCATACTAACATAATCCATGCACTTTCATGCATTATAAATATTTAATCATGCTCTTGACACGTCCTCCGACTAAGTTTTTCAAGTGCAGTGTAGATCGCCAAATTCGATTCAAGTTTAAATTTTGGCAAGATGCACACTAGTTCAGGTTGCCTTTTCTATTCTAGAATGATATTTCTTTCAAAATATTCTTTCCCTGTGCACATTTAAATGCAAGATCGTAAAATCTAAACGCCACAAGTACTTTAGTTCGAAAGTTGATTACGTATATCATTGGAAGAGAAGCGGAAAAAAGTTCATGGCGATTTTATTGAACTATTTTCTTCCATTTAAGTGTTGAACGATGATACATGTTTTATAACGTACCTAATTGTAATTTAATTCTATAGGGCACAATGCTGCACTATTCTTCAATAATGTAGGTAATAAATACTGCATGTAACTATAAATTATATTGGCAACAAAACTTTGAGGAAGCAGGTTTAAATTTTGTTACAAAATTCAGAATTTTTCCAGTATCATCTAATAATTTGAAAGAAGCACTATTATGATATTTGGTTTGAGCTGTAGATATTTACTAAATATAAAATAGGTGAAAAATGTGGCATCGATTTTTATTTTTCTAAGTGTAAGCCACTGTTGCGGTATCAATTATTTTGTAAATATTTACATTTCTAGGTATGGACATCAGTTAATGTAATTTTGTTTAATTTAGTCTGCGCCGATTTTCTTGTTGCCTTACTTGGGATACCTATGAGTACAGCCGCAGCGATCGCTCATAAATGGATATTTGGTTCCATCATGTGCACAGTTTATGGATTTTTTATGTCCCTTTTAGGTAAATGAAATGCAATAAAAATTATAATACTTATGCACAAGGAGGAAATCGGAATGTAAACAGAACTTGCAGAATAACATTTAAAACTACCGAACTTTCAATGAGAGTCTTATAAAATACAGTCAAATGAATGCATAAGGAATAGTTTCAGTTCAATAGCACTCACCAGCAAAAATAGTTTAAACTATGAACGAATTGGCAAAGTGTGCACAATGTCCCACATGGGGAGCCAGAAACAACTGCCCCGTAAAGTAGAAGAACTCAAACAGTTTAAACATTAGCGAACTATAAGACTTCTATAAAGGTAAAAAAAAATGTATAGCCTTATTCTGGTTTCCTCCCTTTATGGGAAACTTGACAAAAGCAATAAATAAAAATTATTTGTTTCAGGTATCACCGCGATCACAACCTTAACAGCTTTGTCATTCGAAAGATATCTTATAATAATGAAACCGCTTAGGAATGCAAAGCTGTCCCGATCCGGAGCATGGACATTGCTCTTGAGTATTTGGTTGTATTCGTTCGTCTTAACTACCCCGCCCTTAATAGGTTGGGGTGACTACATCAATGAAGCGGCCAATATAAGGTTAATATTATGTCCAACCCAAAATGAGCACAATATTTTGGAGATGGTACAAATTGGGGGTGCCGATTTAGGGGTGCTAGCTTAACCTAGCCACAAGGCTTGCAGAGTCACATATTTTCCACACAACCTAATTATTAAAAAATTGATTTATAATAATGTAGATAATCGACCGTTTCGGAACTTTATAATTGTTGACTCCGTCAAATTTCAATTTTAATTTTCAAAACTCAAAGTAAATCTGTGCATGTGCGTTAATGTCATATGAATTTAAACCTAAAAGTTTAGTAAGTTGCAGCCTTCAGTTAAGAAAGCACCTAATTTGACACGGCGCTTTTATAGACTCGCAGCACAAGAATTTACCTACTGTAATTTTTTATTTATTTATTTATTTGTTTAGCCAGATACCATACAGAATACAATTATTCCAATTACATGGCACTGGGGTGCTGTACTTAAAACTAAAACTACACAGTAATTACGATCTTATATGACTAATTAATTCATTCAAAGAGCCGTGAAATACATCGATGGTAGGGCAGTGGTTGCATTCAATGGTTAATTACTGCTGACAGATTTTCAATATCTTACTTTCAACTAAATTAACCGCAATGAATCGATTTTCGTGGATTTCAGTCATTAAAACTTTAAAGTTTCCGATCTAAACGTGTAATATTTTAGTAGGTGGAATTAAATGCAATAGATACAGTAAATGGGAAAATGTACATTTTATAAAACCGCAAACGAAGTGGATAATAAAATTAATTAAATTAAACCTCGTTAACAAATTGCGCCGAGCCAATGAATGCAAAATTATTCCTGCAAATACATTGACAGCGTAAATAGTTCAATGAAGTATACAGTGTGTAAAGCGATGGGGTATACAAGAGGGAATTTTTTTTAAATATTGATTTATGACAAAAATTTATTCTTCATGATATTTTTTGCTTGCTTTGAAAGTACCAATAACGTTTCGATTGTTTGTGGTTTGATAGCAATAAGCCGCGTACAGACCGGATTCCAACGCCAAGGCAAGGAATCCAAGCACATGTGACGTTGGCGTTTGTCGTTGGAAACGATTGGAATGCCCTCGTCCACACCAAAATTTAAGATTTGAGTTGGACTTGGTGGGACCGTGTTAGGTAAAGTTCGGTAACCGGTGCTGCTGGTCTGTCAAACAATGTCAAGCGACGAGGACGATTTACTGCTGGCGAGATGCGGGGTTTTTAATAATGAATTCTTTAATTTCAAAGAAAAAGAAGAAAAAACGGCCAGGCGTTTGTATAGTGACAGTCACTTACTAGAGGAACTTCAAAATGAAGATGGTGGACATTTTAAAAAGGCAGACAAACGACTAAAAACTAAAATCGCGACAAATCCTGTCCAGACCAGACCACATCAAGTTTCCCTTTGATGTACCGCTCACCGAGCGAACGCAATCGAACGCCAACAGCGTCGTTGGAAGGGGGTGGAAACCGTTGGCTTGCGCGGTACACACCAACCCCTCCAAATCTGTAACCACAGGCTTGCGTTGGAAACTCGGTCTGTACGCGCCTATACGCTATTTTGATCATAATGTAGAATAACTTTCAATAAAAAAAAATTAATTTTATTATTTTTCCAGATTTCTATAAATAAATTTTAGATTATCGAAACGTTATTGGTACTTTCAAAGCAAGCAAAAAATATCATGAAGAATAAATTTTTTTCATAAATCAATATGTAATAAAAAATTCCCTCTTGTATACCCCATCGCTTTACACACTGTATAAACGTTTGTGGCATACCTCAAAACTGTAACGTAATTTAATTACGTGGTTTTATTTATTTCCAACTAATTAACAATAAATTTATAACAGTCTTAAAATGGAATAATTTATAACAGTAATCATTATTTATCACTTACTTTTATAACATAACACAAGCGCATCAAAGTTGGAACTAAACTTGAAACACAATTCGATTAGCTTATATACTGCCAATCTTATCAACCGGGCTATATCGGCTTCATGTTCTTACAAAGTTACGCCAGATTTTTGGGTTCGGTTTTTAGCATTGGAAATACGTATGTTTTGTATGAATTTACCAGGTTTTCCGAGTAGAAAAGAAGTGGTGTCGCGTCTAGTGTTGATTGTACCGTACTCGACTGCAATCGGTAGATTCAGGAAAAGTCGCGGATACGGTCGATACGGTACTTACTTAACAGTGCACAGGGGTTTTGTTAATTCGAATTTAAAATTCTCGCACATCTCCCGTGATAGTATTACAAGCATGTACGCCGTTTATTAGTCAGAAAGTTTACGGCTACAATTTTAGCTTCCATGGCTTGAACACCAGCTTCTGTTCCAGTTTGACCACCTTCGAATTTAGTTTCCGTGGTTTGTTGACCGGTTTTCTTCGCAGCTTGACCAGTTTCGAATTTATCTTAACCGACTTTCATTTCTTGCATTAATTGCAGAAGTTTCTCTATTTTTTCCGACGATCTGGTCACTATTAGCATAAACTTCTACTGATTGTTCACTTAAACACAACCCCACACCTGACACCAGTGTAACGTAAATTTAATTACGTGCGTTTATTTATTACAACTAATTAACAATATATTTATAACTGTCTTTAAACGAATTGATTTATAACAGCTAAAATATTATCACTTATAATTATAACATAACACAAGCACATCGAAGTTGGAACTCCCTGAAACGCAACTAGACCTGTTTATATAGGAAACGACAATTGTTCTAGTACGCTTCAGAATGTTCTAAAATAAACATCATTTTTCCCGGAAGGATTGCGTCACATCCGCCTTCGTTCTTTATGCTACAAAGCCTTACGAGGTATTTGTCAACCGCAAATACCGGGTGAGCCATCGCTTTGAGAAAAAGAAGTCCTCGGGTTAAAACACTTTATGGTACACGTTTACCAAATTGCCGAAACAGTACTTTTAGTTTAGCATTTCACGAAATTAAATGTCTGTTGCTGAAATATATTGCTAACGTAATGCGGATTACCAGAAAACCAACAATAGTAGATCTGGTATCCAAACTTATGCAATAAAAGCACTGCCGTTGACAGGATTGAATAATAGATTGTTCTGGTTAAATTTACGTTCTACAAATTCTCGATAGGCTGATATATTGTCAATGCGTTATTAATCGTTTTTTAAAAGAAACCTTTGCATATTGTTTTTTTGTTTCAGTTCCCATTTAACTCAAATGCTACTTTTCTAATAGTCTTAAAAACAAGTTTCATAAGAAGCGCTTTTATCGCACTAGTCCATGTGTAGAAAAGGAATTTTCTAATGAACGAGAAAGAGAATTTTATGTATATCACAAGCACAACACAACATCTTTAGTCGAAAGCAAATGAACTGAAAATGTTAAATTATAAAATTATCGAACAGTTTTTCAGGAACAGGTTTTCCTCTACCATACCAATCGTATTCAAATGAGTGTAATTATCAAATCGAAAACGTCGAGCTCGCTTTAACATTGAAATAGAAAAAAAAGTTATATCCGGTTTTTAAGTAAATTATAAGTCCACATATCTTATGGAAAAGTGAAATTCAGGATATTGAGAAATAAGTAAATTAGAGATACATATTTCGTAATCAACACGTTCAACTGATGCTCGCCGTGCGTGAGAGATTTGTATGTCAACTATAGTTGCTGTTTATGGACGATTAAAAAATCGAACTCGAGGGACTGTAGGTGATAAATCAACACTATTCATCTGTACCACTCTTAAAATTTAATAATTTTTCCTGTAATTTATTTATTTATTTATTTATTTTTAATTTGTTGCCAGTACGTTCACATTAACAACACGTACGCAAAAATGTGTCACATGGTTACAAATAATAAAAAGTAAAAACACATTAAAATCTAAACATGGACATGCAAATATATAAAGTTGTTAGACATAAACAAATGGGGAACAATATATAGAAGTAATAAAAAACACTTAAGACTTATTTTTTTCTTAAAAATTCATCTAAGTGGTAATTAGTCTGTTTAAGCAAAAACAGTTTAAGTGTTTGCTTAAATCTTAAATCTTAAATTGATAGGACTTGAGTTCTTTAATATTACAGGGTAAAGCGTTAAAAATTTGGCAGGCACGAAATAACAAATTTTTTTGAAACAACGCTGTCCTATGTTGACCAGGGTTCAATAACGTCCTATGACGGGTATTGTACCTATCTTGAGTTTTTTCAAAACATGCTCTCTTTTTATACGCATAGCAACAAATCTCCAAAATATACGTATCTACTACTGTTAGTATGCCTAATTCTTTAAATAGCGGTCTACAAGAAGTTTTAGGTGGTAAAGAGTAAATTATTCTTATGACTCTTTTTTGCAGTAGTAGTATTTAAAATTCTGTGGTACCACACTTAGCTATGTAATAATCGATTTCGATCTATATGCACACAAAACAATAATTTAAAAATGTCCACTTTTTAGTTTAAACAGTTTGTGTCGATTCTGTTTCTGTTTGTGACTCCGGGAACCCTCGATGTATGATAGACGGACGGATGAAGCTCATATCAGTGTTATGTATAGGTACTTTCATTGTTTATTTTAACGCATTTTTTTTGTATTTTCGTTATTTACGTCGATATTCCACATTGAATATAGAGCATAATCTTTTTTCAGATGCGCAGGTGATTACTTTCAGCGCTCGCGTGCTTTAAACATATGTTTAAAAAATTGACTGACATTGTTAAGGCCTGTTGACCACCTAAGAGAAGGAAATAATACATAATATATTTATTTTTATACTATATAGCCGAATACAGAAGATACCTACATAAGGAAACTAAGAAAAATAAATATTGCCAAAATCCGAAGTCGTTTGAACTACGAGTACTTGTAATGGATATGGGGCATTTACAAAAAAATATAAATCAAACTTGACTTCATTTCATAAAAAAAATACTAAAAATAATAAACTAAACTAAACAATTCCATTACCAATTCGCGAAATAGTACATAGCGCTGTTCCAGTATCCACACCTGAACTTTTTTCGTTAAAGCGGTATAGGTAATCTTTTTCATTTCGCGCGGTAGAATGGAATAAAGCCTTGAAGCAATGTACTGAGCACATCGTTTACCGATTGTTTTTTCAGACCTTGGAAAAAGTATATGGTCTTCCTGGCGTGTATAATGAGAGTGCATGGTGGGCAGTAATTTTGGATGTTTTTCTGAACTGGAGGATTTTCTTACAGTAAAGTTGGCGTAAATTCATTACATTTGATTCCTTATACAGGGTGGTGCCTAGCGCAACGCAACACAGGGATGTCAATGGTAATTTCTTTATAGTCAATTACTAGCTCCCCTAATTATTTTAGAGCAAAAGTCTAATGAAGTTTTTTTAGAGCAAAAAATACTGCATCTGTTCATACGATTACTTATAATTTTCCGTTTTTCAAAACCGTAGAAATTAACAAAATAAAAAGGTTCATTTTTCAATAAAACAGATATGCCTTGGAATTTATTTTATTTTTCGATTTTATTTTATATACTCTTTATTTATTCCACTAAATGGTAACTCGTGCCTTCATGCTTATCAGTTTTGTATGTTCGTTCCATCATATGTCGTTGGTTTTTATATTACACCCTTGTGTCACATATATAATAAGTGTCAGCGTAAGCTGAATTATTATTATTTATTATCTAAATCAAAATTTTAATGTGTAGCGTACGTCCATATTTATATTTATTGAAAATTTGTACTTATATCTCGAATGTTGCTGTTCTATATTTACGTTATTTACATTGTGCATTATTGACATGTCAAAGCCACATTTGGTACTCTGACAATAAATGATTTGATTTGATTTGAACTTAATTACCTAAAAAATCAGCGATCACGTTTCATTTGCCTTTGACGTTTATTAAATTTATACTTGTTTATAAATTAGTTAATCATAAAATTGTTTATCATGTATTTAACTGACGAGAAATGTTAAAGTTAGTTTATGCTGGAAATAATGCTCGCCAAGTAACGTGTGTATTTAGTGTTAAGTAGGTAACCCAAATGACCGATTCCAAGCAGTAGGTAGGTACAAGACTACAGAATTAAATATAAAAATCGTCAAATATCGTCAAATAACGATAACTTAGATGCGATGCTCTTGTAGTTTGTTAAAAGATTCCCAAGCATCACTGATTTATAAAAATGTAATTTTTTATTTTGTCGATTTCTACGATTTGAGAAACGGAAAATTGTAAGTAATAGCAAACAAAGAGGGGTACTCTTTGGTAATAGTATGAACAGATGCAGTATTTTTTTCTCTACAAAAACTTCTTTACACTTTTGCTCTAAAATAATTAGGGGAGATAGTAATTAATAATAATAATAATAAACTTTATTTCCTCGTTTTGTTATAACACATCCAATAACACGAAAAAAAAGGAAAAAGGACTGCATTCAGTGCTTATAAGCTCTGTTCTTCCATGCAGCCCGGCTTGATTGATTGACTATAAAGAAATTATCATTGACATCCCTGTGCTGCGTCGTGCTAGGCACCACCCTGTATAAGGCTGTATAAGGATTCACTAGCATAAAATATCCCCAGCCAACAATTCCATACATTAACAGTGATTGTATTAACGAGAAATACAAAACACACATCTGTTGAGTGAATACGATATGTTGTAAGTGTTTAATTTTAGATAAAACTGCCCTTCTCTTCACTGGTCAACAAACCCTAAAATGTCAACTAAATCAATTTTGTAAACATATTCATGTTTAAAGCACGCGAGCACTGAAAGTAATGCACCTACATCTGAAAAAAGAGTATGCTCTATATTCAATGTGGAATATCGACGTAAATATCGAAAATACAAAAAAAGTGCATACCATCTTTTTTATACAAAATTTTATTATCTTTCTTTTTTTATATGAAACTTTACTTGCTAGAATGCACGGTTACCGAGATATCAGCGAAAAAGTGATTTGGAGCACCTTTTTTCCAAGATGGCGGCTCCAGCCATTGGAGTTTTGGTCCCGACTTTTAGTATGTTCGAATACAAGCCCTAATGTACCTCTATACCAATTTTCAGCTTTCTTTCAATTACTTCCGCTATTCGTGGAAATTTGATCTAATTTGACTGTACTAGGAGCGCGTGTCGAAAACTCACCGCTTGATCCCGTGCGTCCCATAACTCGACCGATGTTGGTCGCGCGACTCGAGATGAACAGAAACAGCGCGAAGAAGACTACCACAACTTGTACCAACACTTCGAAGTCGCACATTTTTCGGCAAACCTTTCGTGTGATTTGGTTGGAGGGGGGAGAGGGAGAGGAAGAGGGAGATTATTTAACAATATTAAATGTATATAAAATATGGGCATAGCTTCACCCATATAATACGCAATGCCAAAAGTTGGTTTTCATTGTTATTTTAAAGACATTTCGATAAAGCCAGATATTCCATAAGGAAGTTAAAAATCTATAGTAACCGTACATGCTACACCGAATTTTTCCTAAATAAGCATGAAATTACACAGTACTTCATCAACTAAAGGAATGAAAACAAATAAGTGCAACAGACATAGAGGTAGATAACTAAATTGCTTTATCATGGTTACCTTAATATTCGTGATTACTTTAGTATTCATAAATACTGAAGCTGGTATATTTAAACACACTCCATGTTCCCAGAAAAGAAATCAAACGATTTTCCGCCCAATCGCGGTTTGGGTCGAGTTTTAAAACTAACAAAACCAAATTGTTTCGCGCTGTGTAATGAAACGAAAATAACGGTTGCGAAAGGCATTGCATTTAATGAAATAAAATAAAATCAGCGTCGGGTATTCCGAGTAGCTTTTAATTGCTTCACATTTGTTTAGTTTTTATTGTTTACTGCGTACTGTACTTTGTAATTTATTTATCAATTATTTATACTCGTATTACTTCAAACGATGGATGGGTGGTGTTACGGTTCTTGTAAGGTTGACAGGACTGGCGTGCTTTGTGGGGTTTCATTTAATAAGTGAACAATGTACAAGTACAATGGCAGTAGATTAACTATATCCCTGTACGTTGCATTTATTTCAAATTTGCCCATTTGTTTCCAGTTGCTCTGTAAATTGGGAGGAACAAGGCTTCAATGTGAAAAGCTATATTATATTTCTCTTTGTATTTGGATTGGTGTTGCCATTAATAGTAATTGGATTCAGCTACATCAGCATAATTATTCGACTGAAGCAAGTAAGTAATTGCATTTACCATTTTTTGGCGTTGCTTAAATTTGGAAAGCAAGTATTACTAGAATTAATTAATAAATTTAATTTACAATTTGTATTCCAACAACTATTTTGTAATTATTTTATGAATTCAATCAAATGATCCACGTGCATTAGTTCCAAACGCTGCTATGATTTCCATTGGTAATAGGGAAAATCGCTGGAAGGGGAAGTTTAATAAAGCACATTTTATGTACGTGAAAATAATCAATACCATGGCTTCGAAATACAATTATGTAACATTTCAACGTCTTCTTTACTGAAGGAAGGGGTTAAACGCAGGATGTGGTGGGCAAAGGAGGATTTATTTACATCTCGAGAGTATGGATTTCATCGTCATAGCGTTCTGTAAGACCGAGGCTGTCTAAAGTCTAAAGGCAACTAGTTTATGGCATGGGGGGTGGCAAGAGTTAAAAGGGATTACATGGTTTTCTATAAATGTCGATTTGAATATTTGAACAACCTCTCGTCAATGACAGGTCCAGGAAATTTAGGGATGTATTTGTCTCGATCTCCAAAGTGAATTTTAAATTTGGGTGAAGAATCTGAAAACAAGCATCTAACTCTGACCTGTTACCCCTGAAAATCACAAAGATGGCATCGACATGTCGCTTAGAGAAAAGGAAATGGGTTTTTATGGGGTTAAGTTGAAAACGTTGGATTCTAGGATATTTAAAAAGACTTCGGCTAGTAAACGAGACAGGTTTACTGCCCATAGGCAAACCTGTAGTTTTGATATAATGGTTATTATTGAACAAGAAGTAGTTTTGCTCTGAGCATAGTTGGAGAGATGCCGAGATGAAGGAGCACGTGTCTGGGAGCGAGGAATTGGTAAAGGTTTTCATCGATAATTTCAAAGCAGTCTGAAAAAGGAATACTGAGGAACAGGTTAACGATATCAAAAGATATGGGAATGGATAGATCGTGTGTCACATATAAAATTGTATTTGAGAAATTTTTCGTATCTCGCCAAATAAAAGAGATATTGAGGGTTGAGGCGACCCTCTTATCTCAAACGCACTGCATTTTCCTCGATAATCGACCGTTTCCAGATTTATCAGCGACTCTGTATGAAATAGTTATTTACGTTATAAGTCCGGTAGGTTACTTGTAACAGTACGAGTTAGACATTATGGACGAGGCGACGTCAGGAGCCGAGTCAAGAATGTCTTAAACGAGTACTGTTACAAGTACTACCGGACATATATCGTAACGTATTTTATTTCATACTGTAAGTCTGTTTTGTATCATTATTTCATTTCAAAGATTACAAAATTTCATCATATTGTAAAATCGCATTACCTTGTTTCTGTGACAACGGCCGTTGCTATAGTTTGTAGTTTGTTGACAATTGAATTTTTTTCACTGAAAAATTGACGTTATAAACGTTGTGGGATGTTGCAATGTTCCCGATACAATCCTGTCGAAATCTCATGAAGCAACCGAAAAGTTGGTTCCTAAGAAGTCGGCAGCAAGGTATGAAAAAGAGTACTAAGTGTTTTGCCAATTGAGGAACGAACATGGGGCGAAACAAGTAGAGGAAAAAGTCATGTTGGCATACTTTTTGGACGCAGTAAGTTTTTGAATTGAGATTTTTTTGCCTGGGTTTCGGTGTTAAAGCGTCATGGAGCATGGAAAAGCTCATCGACGGCAGAAAAATACATCGAAGGCTCGGTAGAAGGAAAAGTTAAGATTGCCCGTATGATACAACTGATACAAGGCGGCGAAAATTTCATTGAAGTTTTACAGCAGAAGGAATCAAACATTACTAACTCGACATTCAGTAATAACCCAGGCGTAGTGTTGAGGGCAATACAAATTGTTTCATTACAATCAATGTTAATGTTTGAAATAAAGAATTACAGCCAAATTTATGTTGGGGTTTTTAATTAATTGTGTGAAGATGTCAAATTTGATGTATACAAATAACAGTCCGGTAAGTGTTGCTTAGCGACACTTACCGGCTCGGATGCTGTAATAACTCACCTACCGGACTCAAAATGATAGTGTAATCGAACATCTACCGGACAGTATGAAATAAAAATCATTAAGGGTAGCGTATCTAAATTTCATTCAAATATCCATACGTTTATCAATTGAGCACTAAAATACGCATATTAGAGTCGGCGTTTTGCATTTTCCAGCAAATTACCCTCATGCTTCGGCTTAATTCATTTAACGGTTAGTATCTTTTTGGATAATGAAAAGCCCGATTCCTAATTGCGAAAAGTGATGTTAACTGTACTCGCGATCTTTTAGCAAAACTTACAATCCGGCCAGGTAAAGCAGTCTGAAAAACGAGTAACCATATCCATATTCGTAATGATCGTGGCATTTCTAACCGCCTGGATGCCGTACGCCGTGATGGCTCTAGTTGCACAATTTGGTGCAAAAAACAGCATTACACCAGCAATGGGAGTGATTCCAGCCATCCTTGCGAAAAGTAGTGTATGTTACAACCCCGTCATTTATGTCGCCTTTAATACGCAGGTACAAGTGGATTGTAATGGTGCGTTATTACATATACTTTTTGTTTTAGTTTCGCCACTCATGGATGCAAATGTTCTCGAAAGCGCGTCGTAGGGATACTGGAAGGACTACAAATGTGACAACCCTCTAATGTTTTTATATTTAAATGTAAACATAATGTACGAAGTATAGTTTATTTTTGTAAATTTTCTTATTTAGTAACGTTGAATGAAATTATCTGAAATGTAGCTTTTCTCTACAGAATTGACATACTAAAATCTTTCAAAACAAGATAAATTAATTTTTGAAATTAAAGACAAAAATTGTCAGACTAGTTTTATGGGTGACGTGTTCTGTTCCGTTTCACTACCACCTCCATTCAGCTATATTTTAGGGATTTATGTTTAAATAGGGTAGGTATATTATTATTATGTTATATCTGTATTATATTTGTAAACGACTTTGCATCGTATGTGAATAATGAATGTTGATAATATATATCGATGACATCGCTTTTGGGAACACAACTTAGAATTCCGTATTTTAAAGGGTAGGTATCCACTTGTATTCGTTTTAGTGTACAAATCCGCAGATGACTCTTTTAGGTCAATTATTGAAAAAAATCTTTTCAATCTAGTCGTTGTCTTTTCCCTTCAAAGAAAAGTGCTTCTTTAGAAAAGTGCACATTGTCTTCACACGCATCACACATCTGTAAAGTTGGCAACCCATTAAAACCACAAAAACCGCACTAGTCACATAAATTTGGTGCCCTATTTGTGCCTTTAATCATTTATTATAACGAAAAATATCGAAATGCCATTCAACTCTTTCATCTCGTCAAATGAAGCATAAAATCTGATTGATTTGTCTATTATTGTTTTTCGAACATTTCTCTATAATAGTTATTTATGTATTAAGGGCATAATAGTGATGTTTATATTCTCGAGGGCCTATGGCCCGAGAGCTTTTTAGTCGCCCGAGAGTATAAACATCAGTTTATGCCCGTGGTACATACAAAATTTTATGTTTTACAAATAGTTTTCTTCGTCAAAGTAAATATTCGTTTACAAAATGGTTTATATTTAGAACTCGATCCAAAACCAAATTTTCAGGAAAACATAAACCATATAAACCCAAAAAATAAAAAGCTAAAAATATACAGCGAGTTTTTTTTTAAATGCGAACATAGGAGTTTGCATGCAATGTAATTTCCCTATGTTCGATTTTTTAAAAAACACATCATGAGGTGTGCACGGTTCACATTCTCAAATCGCGCAACTTGTGTGACTATGAACAGCAACTCTATAGTCTTTATGATGAAGAGCACTAGGTAAGATTTTTTTAAAGAAGCCATACGAACCCATAGCAACTTTAGGATACATTTTTCTTAAACTTACGATAATTGGACCTCACAGGCCACGCACTGACACCACAACTCATTGTGAACCAACCTTCAATTATTTGTAGGTCATGTGCACCTAGTATTCTACTAATTTGATCTATTCAATACATAAATGAAGAAAATAAGAAAATAAATACCGAAAACAATTACAATAAATGTTCGAAGTGTCCTCCTTGACATTCTAAGCAATAATGTGACAGCTGTCAATTGTATCTACTACTCATTTGAACTACTCAATAGATGATGTGTTTTTTTAAAATCGAACATAGGGAAATTACATTGCATGCAAACTCCTATGTTCGCATTAAAAAAAAATTCACTGTATGTATGAATAGAACGAACGATCAGAAAAAAACTTACGACTTGGCAACAAATCCCTTTTCAAAAAACCGGCTAATCGAACTCAAATTTCAAAAACACAACTCTTGGTAGGTAAGTAAACTATACGGTACTACCTTTGACAATATTATATTTGCAGTTTGCCATTAATTAGCAACAATTTATACGGCGTAATTCGCTTCACCGCCGCCGTCTTTTCGCTTTCGTAGCTATCAAGGAAGTATTGGCGCTTATCAATTGGAAATTTTGAGTTCCTTCAAGAATTTATTGTGATATAAAATTGAATAGACGAGAAAGTTACACTGTTAAAATGAATTTATTTTACACTGTGAAAATAAATTTGTTACATTACATTAGGCACACTAGGCACGTGCCTAGAGGCGGCAGCTTTAGAGAGCGGCATTTTTTGCACTATATTTATTTTAGGTAACATTTTAAGTTTTAAAATAAATCCCCTAAGGCCCTAACAAGTCACAAATGGAAAAAATTTTTAATTAAAATTATGAAATAAATTGGAATTGAACGATAATCGACAATGCAAGTTTCGACGTGTGTGAAAACGTAATCTTAGGTATACTGTATTTAATTCATATTAATTTTAAAAATTTCAAGTTATAAGGTGATTTTTATTAGCATCTTAAAATTTATTGCAATTGAAACTTGAAACTTTGACATATGCCTGGCGTCGCCGCCTCTCCCAGGATTTAGTCAACTGTCGTGAGGATGCGTCCCTGGTAGTCACTATCGGGGACGTTTCTCCACTACTTTGTTGCCATCGCGCTGGGCCGCGACATATGCCAAACAATGTGGTGGATTTTGCGGATTGGGGGGGTTGTGGGGGGGCGGCTAACTGGGTGTTATCCGACCCGAACGGGTACGGCCACAGCTTCGCCACTGGTATTCTGCCTTAGAGGGAACTCTGCTTTCTAGTGATAGCTTCTTCTCCGGGCGTTCATTGGCTTCCGATGTTCCTATGCTTTGGTCTCGTTCCCTTCCCTGTTTTTCCTCGTGTTAGGCCCTTTTTATTGTTGTCCTCCCCCTGCGTTACCTTCTGTCCCCTTTTCCTCCTCCCCTTGGCTACTTGTCTTTGTGTCTGATTCTTCCTCCACCTCTAGTATTCTTCTGCTTTCTTTCTTCCTTTGATGTTTGTCTCTACTCTTCTCTTCCCATCTTCCCATGGTAATCCCCGACACCTCTACCGTTTGGTTTATGGTGGTGTTCCATGTGTGGCAGGGTCGGCCTACCTTCCATTCCGAGGTACATAGAATCTTGGCAACTCGTTATGATATGGTCTTTGTTCCTCCTGTTGGTATGCCTCATCTTCAGTCTCCTGGTAATCGTCTTTCTCTCTAGTAGTTCTCTTCTCTATTCTTTGTTCCTCCTGTTCATTTAAAGATTATTTTTGGAGGGGCGCATTTCTTTCGGTATACCTAGGGGTGAAAAAAATTTAAATCCGCCACTGACTATAAGTATATTATGAACATAGCTTATGCGACAACAAATTTTCCAAGAACTTGGTTTTAAACAAGCAGTTAATTAATTTATAATCGGGAAACACATGCGAACGCAATTATCAAAACCGTCAGTGAAGTTAGCAATTCATTATAAGCACAAATGACGCTATATAGCCACACTAATCTTGACCTTTATTTGTGAATATATTTTTAAAAATGCCCATAGGCTATAAAAGAAAGTTGTAATATAAATTATACAAAAACTGGAGTTCCCCATTAGAAAATCTAGCATATTACGTGACAAGTTATCAACATTAAATTAGATTATAGTATCTCACCAATAATAAAAGTAACTAACTTAACTAAATGTCAACGTGCAATAAGTCTAGTGGTGTTAAACGGAAGTATGTTTGCATTAGAAACACGGGCAGTTCCCCATACATGCAATCCGTAGGTCCACACACGTTTGAAGATCATTATACTACCATCTGCTTATGGATACCGTCTTCTCCCGGTGAACATGACTTGGTGTTACGGATGGCGATTATAACGCGCAAGCAGCAAAATGCAAGGCACTACAAAAATACCATGTGCTTCATAAATAAAACACACGCCGCTGACCGGCCAGCTAGCTCTGTTGACCAAATAGCAAACAGCGGAGAGAGAAAGACTAATGTACAGGGTTGTGGGTAACAGAATTAACTCAATTGGTAATTGGCACTTATAACTCCTCGATCCAGCCTAGGTCGTCAGTACTTACTTTTGGTCGCTTCAATTAAAATCTATGGGCGCCACCTAATTCCAAGTTAAGTTTCGCTTGCCACTACCGGAACTAGGAAAGGTAGCTTTAGCGTTAAAGTAGGCAACTGATAACCCACAAAAATAAGTGTTTATTGGGTGCAATTGTACCTGCATACGTAACACCAACACAAAAGTTATGTTCCCCAAATGGGAATCAAAAATCAATAAAGTATAATAAACACGTTATGTAAAAAAAAACTAAACAACCCCAAGTATAAGTGTTGAAATAATTATCCCAAATTCCAAGGTTTACATAAAATTCCCCCAATGAAATATTACATAAATTTAGTAGCTGAAACTAGTTCACACCAAAAATCCTGAAAGTAGGTATAGAACACCCACTACCGTTGCACAGTGATTGAGTTTAATGGGTTAAATTGACAGTGGATTGAATACCTTGATTGGTAGCTTGTAGCGTATCGAAGTTTAAATCATAGTATAGAGCTCTGTACTTCACAGGTGATTTACTTCACATGAGTAAATGCAGTTAATTAAAGCAAATTATTCCCTTTCAAGTTCAAGCGTACTAATTAAGAGTAATATGGGTGGCTCTAGTGTTCGGCCAGTTAACATTTACCACATAAGTATGGGTTAAATGAAATGCAAATACACAAAGGCAATAGTTTAAACAATAATAAGATATCACCACTACGATAGGTAGGTCTCTGGTTCCTAAGATTCCTGGTGTACGTGTAAACGGCTAACGGTTTTCTATGTACCGCAACAGGTGTCAAAAGGGTTGGTGTCCGCAGTATCTGTTTGGCTGCGCCTTAGAGATAGTAACGTTTCAATGGCAGATTTTACAGTAGACGGAACTCCTGCATGTTGTCGTTTAACGTAGATGTGTTTCGCTTAGAGAGTAAATAGAAGCTACGGAATCGTTGGACTTTGACTCCTTACAAGGACTCTCTTAAAGCAGAGAGTACACAAAAAAAAGAACTTCGTTAAAGTAAGGTAGCCTTCTTATACCATAAATACGATGGATTCCCCGATTAAGGTGGCTTGAAATTCCTCCAGTACAAAAAAAATTCCTTACGGAAGTTTGTCCCCAAGCATTAAAACGAAACTGCTTGGTGCAAACATTAATTTGGGTTGACTTGGTTAAAAGATGCTTTCGCAAGGGTGTTCGATCCAAAATCAACCACTGGAAGATATAACAAGCACCCCCAACTCGGGATCACAAATCGACCGTCTTTCTAAAGCAGGTGGCGAGAAAAGAAGACGCTAACTTTCTTGTTTCCGGTCACGATGCAACCGACGACGAATAATTCCAACCAACCACGAGAGCCGATGGATATGTCAATACCATAAATGGTAATATCTAATGCTTATCGATAAAGGAAACGAATTTAAAACCAATGACAGCAAGGTATCGAATTACAGTAAACTGACGTCATTGATCGGTAGATCGAGAAACTAAAACGGGCAGGCAACACAAAAATATAAAAGTAACTAGAG